GCTAGTAGAAGTTATGAATGGCCGGTAACTTAAAAATTTAGTAGCCAAATTGGCTGGTGAGTGAAAAAGTTAATTTCAATCCCTGTTTATTACTATTAGTTGTATTACTATTTTTTGATCAAATAAATGCAGCATTAGCGAGTAAATCGTACTAAACTTTTGCATGGTAGTGAATATGAATTTAATTTAATGTTATGTTATAAATTATTTATTCTTTCTATATAAATATGTAAGCAAAATAAATGTATTGATTTATATAATCCTATGAATGTAATAAAATACCGCAGCTCCGTATTTCTTTAAAAAGCTTTTTTTGAGAGAAAAGCAGACGTCAGCCAACTGCTCTTCTCTGACTCAGCTCTGAGTTACTTTTCTATGGAATCTGAAACCAAGATGCAAAATAGCCTGGCGCTTTGTGTTCTCAAAGTTCACATCGGCCCCTGCAGACACTGAAATACCACCAGACTCTGCTGGAACACTGACAATTTCACTTGACAAAGAAAGTAACTGGATGTTCTTTGGATACTCTTCCTCCTCTTACTGTTTTGCAGTAGAACTGGCCACCCTTCAGTCAACATTGGTTGGCTCAACACACTCGAAATGAATGCTGGGGTGGACCGAACCTTTCTGGTGCCTTTTGACCAGATTGGATCTTATAAAACCAGCCTTGAAGAATTTACTGTCAGTGATAACTTAGCAAATGTCTCTTTTTCAGTTCAAGAAATTATCTTTAGAGTGTCACCGATCTTATCAGTGTCTGGATGTATTGTTGTAAAGTTCACTGAATGATGGGTATAGGTTTTATCAACCACACAAAGAGAAAATGTCCCCAGAATCCTGAGATAAAATCTATGGTAGTCTTCAAAGCAAGACAATACACAGCTGATACCAGTTTTGAGGAAACTACTCTGAAACTGTAGCATGCCAAATTACTATTAATATAGTAAATTGAATTAATACATTAATACGTTCAGTGGTTAAACTATAGTAATAATGTCCTTTAAACAAAAAAAATTGAAATAATTGAAAAACTATATATTTTTAAATCTAATTTCATAAAACATTATGCTAAAATGAATTAGGAATTTGAAAAATTACTTAAAATCTGTGGAGAAAATCTTTGGTTCATATTTCATGAACCATTTTTTATAAGAGAAATGCTATCAGAAAATTTTCCATCAGTTACTCATTACACTGCTACTCAAAAGTAGTTTGAAACCAGAAAGTATTTTATTTAACTGAACTACTGTCACGCTACTGACAAATGGAGTTAGTAGCATCACTGTTCGCTGTTACTAGACTGTTTCCTCCCTTTAACTGTGCAAAAAGTAAAAAATACGAAATGTTTAAAAGCAATCACACAGCCAGTTGGTTTGGGAACATGATTTTCATGACAATTCAAAACCAAATATACCTAATATCTGTGAGAACTGAATTAAAAAAATTAAAGGAAGTGCAGTGTATTTCAGTGAGACAAAGCTGAAAATGACTATTTTGCATGTTGTTGAATATATGCATAAGCCACTTCATTTCCTTTCCACCAGAGTTTATTTATGGTTACATATCTGCATAAATAAGCCAAGAGCTGGGTCGAAAGTCAAACTTATTCGACCTTGAAGACTATCGCTATGCAAAAGTAAAGTATCACGCCTTCAACTGTCACTGTGCTCTTCTTCTTCCTGTACATTGATACTCTCGTAATGTTGAGTTAAATCGGTGTTTTCCACAAAGATGCACTAAAGGGAAATGTAAGTGTTTAAATCGAATGTCACTCACAAGGTTATTACTTCCCTCCCTTGTGCTTGCCTGAGCATTTACATGATGCTGACCCAAGCTACGGAACACAATATACCACAGAGCTGGAGCACGCTGCTATTTTCAGAGCAGACGCCTCACCAGGGAATATGCGGGACAGTATCTTAGAATCTCTAGCACAAATTAGTCATTTAGACCCCTCCAATTTTCAAAGCCAATTTCCGTCTTTACAGTAGCATGCATTGCCCTCTCAGAAAGATACATTTGGCATGCTAATTCCTAAAGCTCTTGCTGAGATGTGTACACTCCAAAGAAGTAATGAATCTTGAACATATCTCTGTAAGTAGGCTAAATTGCTGTTTTTGTCATTTTTTTTTTTTAGATGAGTCTTTAGTAAAGCAGTTGACGCGCATTTAAAATTGACACTGGTGAAACTCTGGAAAGCAAATGGAAAATGGGTCACAGCAGGATGCCACTGGGATAGGCTGTTAGAAATACAGTAGATTACTGGATTTACGCAACGGCAAACACGAAGGACAAATAAATTGCCTCTCACCTGGAAAATCAATAGCAATCAGTGCCATTACTTTTCAAGCTGATCCTTATGGGAATAAGCTGCCAATTTGCCAAAACCAACCGCTTAAATGGTTTGTAATAGCAATGAAAGAATACATAAATTGCTAGCATAGAACACTAGATTGGGCTCATACCTGTACTGAGGGGAAGGGACTCCCGATGCCTCACAGGTTAAAACAGCCTCCTGCTCAGGAGAGTGGATGGGCAGTCTCAGATCTTCGGGTTCCTTTTTCCAGCTTGGACCAAGAAACTTTGTGTCTTCTGCATGTGCTGATGAGACTGACACAGAGATAATCCATTTGTTGTTCATTTAATAAAAATACAGTTCAATCGTGACAACTCTCAGAGTGAATGATTTCAACTAGCATTTACCGGCATGGGGAATGTAATGTACAAAAGCTTCATTTTGGCGTATGAGACATGCTACATTGCTGCTGCTGCAGATCAAATACAAGAATTTGTTTAGCTTAGTCAAAATAACACAAAACAGGACAGCCTGTTGCAAGAAATGGTAGACCCCATAGCAGATCCCTAGAGGTGGTGCTGGGGAGGAGGAGGGAATATATGTATATATACACCCACACACACACACACACACACACACACGTTTATACTGTGCATGCTTTGACAGCTGCTTTTATTTGATAATAAAAATATCCAGGACTACAGAAAAATACCATTATTCACACATCTTTTGCAGCTCCCTACACTTCTACATTTTTCTAGAAGTGTGCTTCAGAAGACATCACGCCTCCATTGTCAGAATATTATGTAATATATCTAAATAGATTCCAGAGACTTGCAGCCATTATTTTTTCTTTATTGATTAATATTATACAGAGATACACCGTGCAGCCATATTTATGAGACAATTCTGCAAACCTCATAGAAACGCCATACTACAGGAAAATAAACTCCAGTGTCAGCTGCTGTTGTGGTAATATCAACAGAAGAAAGATTGTGTGTATCATTTCTGAAATTACACACCGTAACTATAGGATATTTGATGCATGTGTCGGTTTTGAGGAAACTACTCTGAAACTGTAGCATGCCAAATTACTATTAATATAGTAAATTGAATTAATACATTAATACGTTCAGTGGTTAAACTATAGTAATAATGTCCTTTAAACAAAAAAAAATTGAAATAATTGAAAAACTATATATTTTTAAATCTATTTTCATAAAACATTATGCTAAAATGAATTAGGAATTGAAAAGAAGACTTAAAATCTGTGGAGAAAATCTTTGGTTCATATTTCATGAACCATTTTTTATAAGAGAAATGCTATCAGAAAATTTTCCATCAGTTACTCATTACACTGCTACTCAAAAGTAGTTTGAAACCAGAAAGTATTTTATTTAACTGAACTACTGTCACGCTACTGACAAATGGAGTTAGTAGCATCACTGTTCGCTGTTACTAGACTGTTTCCTCCCTTTAACTGTGCAAAAAGTAAAAAATACGAAATGTTTAAAAGCAATCACACAGCCAGTTGGTTTGGGAACATGATTTTCATGACAATTCAAAACCAAATATACCTAATATCTGTGAGAACTGAATTAAAAAAATTAAAGGAAGTGCAGTGTATTTCAGTGAGACAAAGCTGAAAATGACTATTTTGCATGTTGTTGAATATATGCATAAGCCACTTCATTTCCTTTCCACCAGAGTTTATTTATGGTTACATATCTGCATAAATAAGCCAAGAGCTGGGTCGAAAGTCAAACTTATTCGACCTTGAAGACTATCGCTATGCAAAAGTAAAGTATCACGCCTTCAACTGTCACTGTGCTCTTCTTCTTCCTGTACATTGATACTCTCGTAATGTTGAGTTAAATCGGTGTTTTCCACAAAGATGCACTAAAGGGAAATGTAAGTGTTTAAATCGAATGTCACTCACAAGGTTATTACTTCCCTCCCTTGTGCTTGCCTGAGCATTTACATGATGCTGACCCAAGCTACGGAACACAATATACCACAGAGCTGGAGCACGCTGCTATTTTCAGAGCAGACGCCTCACCAGGGAATATGCGGGACAGTATCTTAGAATCTCTAGCACAAATTAGTCATTTAGACCCCTCCAATTTTCAAAGCCAATTTCCGTCTTTACAGTAGCATGCATTGCCCTCTCAGAAAGATACATTTGGCATGCTAATTCCTAAAGCTCTTGCTGAGATGTGTACACTCCAAAGAAGTAATGAATCTTGAACATATCTCTGTAAGTAGG